TTCGAATTATTTTAATTCGCATTCAAAACGTTTAACGTCCAAACATAAATTCTAATTCGAATTGCAATGCGCGTCAAATTCGCTTTACTGTCATAACGACGTTAACTTTTAATTCGTATTAACAAAAACGCATTTCAAATGCGAATTGGACAATGCGATTAAGCCAATTCGAATCTCTTTGACACATTCCCCGTATCATTCTCAATTTTATTAGAAAATAGATTATGTCCCCTTTGTAATATAGAGGTGGAAAATGAATTCCATTTTGCAATAATATGTACACAACTCAATAACTCTAGAATGAAGATGTTTAATGAAATTTCTCATATTGTTTCTAGTTTTATTTCAATGAGTAATGGGGAAAATTTGATTTTATTTTCTCTTGTGAAGAATATAACATTTTGATAATTATTGTTAATAGCATAAGTGAGATGTATAATTACAGAAACAATATAGCAATTGTGTATGAACCGTTGATTTACATGCATACCTTTTTTTCTTTGATATAACCTTATCTATGAATGAATAATATAGAGTTAAGCAGCATTTCCTCTAAATAAAATAATCTTAAGCTAATTTAAAGGGGAGGCATGTCGTCTAACATTTTAATATTTTTTGTAAATGCTACATATTTGTATTGTTTATTGTTTATTTGTGTTTGTATTTAGTAGCAATCCGATTGTTTGGATTTTAAAAAATAAAATATCTTATCTTATCATCTTAGAAGAAGAAACAAAACGAGCATTTTTCTGTGCGTACTTTGCAAATCTTAATATCTGTGCAATTAATCAATGAGAGTTAAGAATACCCATCTGCATTCCTAAATTTTTTAAAGACACAGTAAATGGGACACGGAAATGTCATTTTCTTTTCCTTAATAGATTAGGATTTTGATTGCAAGTTTGGTTATTGATTTAGAAGAAGGGTGTGTGATTTAGAAGATGTAAGATTTGCCACTTCAGTAAAAGAAAACCAAGAAATAACATGAATACTTCTAAATATAAATATGTATAAAAAAATTAATTTAATTAATGCAGGGAATTACAATTGTTGTGGCGGAATTCAAACTTGTAAAAAGTATTTTTACAACGATGTCATTCAATCTCTTGACAATTATTCGATTAAAAGTACATAATTATCTAATTATGCGTTTGCACTTTAATATGCATTAGAAAAGCAACACATTTCCGTACATAGAAAAAGGTTTCTCAGTACAGTTGTCTGTGATAATGTTATGAACAGATTTCTATAGGGAGCAGGCATGTTATTAAACATACGTGCACTATTAAATGATAAGAAGACAAACTTACACTTTACTCACTTCACTGATAATTAAGGACGTTAATGGTCTAAGTTTTGGATCGCTATTCAAGAATTATTTAAGCGCGGCATTAAATCATCCTTCGAAGTATCAAGCACTGCAAGTTTTTTTTAGGCATATAAATATATTTCTGTTGCAAGGCTAATTTTTTTATCATATATATCCAATTTTGCGATATACTAAACGCTTTATTTTTTTCCCAATTTTGACATATTCGCGAACGATATTTACCTTTATTTTACGAAAAATAATTAAACAGATCGCAAAAACAAATTGATATATCCTTGTCGTTCCTATAGGAATCAAAACTTAATATTTTGGAGTAAAGTTTCAGAATCAGTCCTCACGGCTGTTATAAAGTTATAAAAATATAACCTGCAAGGTTAACTGGGGAAAAGAAATATGGTCACTACAGGTCTTCTTCCGACCGGCAGTAAAATCCTTGCCAAAGTGGGGCGTCAGTTTGGTTGTACGGGATGTACAAGTACGCAGCCATGTTCGGTCAGAATGGGGACGTTAAATCCGATGCCTCGTGTAGAGGGAGTGCCACGCTCTATGCACGTTAAGAACCCTTGCAACAACTCTTAGGTGGTCTGTTGCAAGGCTAAATTTCTGTCCCTATCCAATTTACCCTCCTTTTTCAGTGGCAGTTTAAATTTCCTCGACCTTCATCCCAAACGGCCTCTATTACAGGACCTGCCTATTGTATTCATTGTAAATTTGTACTCGTCCCGAACATGCATGAAATATTTGCCACTGGACGTTAAGCAACCAACAATCAATCAATCAATTAACATATAAGGGTTAGATTCGCTGTGATACATAATTGTGACGGATGAAATAGACGACATAAATGAATATACAAAAACGTGTAAGAAATAAGGGTGGTAAATGCTGAAAAGGTATATATCATCTGCTGAGTGGGATGACACGAGCCGGGGTGCTCTTTTACCAAACCCAGCTTTTTAAAAAAAATTCCACTTATCTTCTTCCTTTTTTCAGATCCAACTTTTTAACCTCACATTCCCACTTATTTTACCCTCTATATACCACAAACCAAACGCTTGTCACCCTCCCCCTTTCCCTCAGCTCCTTTATCTGCTGACCACAGCTAGGAAAATGTTTTCTTTCCTTTTTATGAAGGGAATGAAATCGTCCCGATCAAAATTAAGTTCAGACGAAATATATTTATATGCTATGTGAAGTAAACGAGGATAGATACCACTCGACTTGCTATTTTATATAGTTTAGTTGATTAGGATTTCTAGGCGCTAGACACACTGCAGGCGAAGTTGACTGCCTTGATGTCTTAAAAGCATAATTTTGCTCGAATCTCGATGAGGGAAGTACATAAATTTACTACCGCAAATTGTCAAATTTAACAGTTCTAAGTGGGATACCGCAGCGAGATCGAGAAGAGAAAACTTTTAAATTAACCAACTACAACCTGGTGTTTACAATGAAAAAGACGGAAATAAATATTAACAAGACCAAATAACACTTTACTTATAAGAGGATTAATGATCTTAGTCTGTGCAATAATTCAAGAATTATTTAAGCGGGACGTAAAGTCATTATTCCAAAATGCACTGCAAGTTTTCTGATTTTTTTTGTTGCAAAAATAACATCTTTAAAGGTCATAATTCGAATATTTCAACTTTTCTTTATAGATATGCATGGAAATGCTGATCAAAAACATATAAACAGGGTGCATATGTACTACAGTGTTAGTTAATTTCTAAATGGTATCATAGTCTAGTTGATATTGACTGCGTGGAAGAGTACTGCATTGGAAATACCTTAAATTCTAAATATTCAAATTATGAACGATAAACGAACATATTAATATAAGTACATTACTTTGCTATCAGCCATCTTTAGTCTAATTTGTGCCGATTTATATTAGTGATTTTTTAACTTTTTGTGTTTGTTTTTTCTCGTTTGACACATTAGCTACGATTTTATATCGCCTTTATTCTACGAAAATAAATAAACCGATCGCACCATTTAATGTACCAACGCTTTCACTATATCTTAATTCTGTTTTGATTCGAGCGCCACTAATGAGTTCCAGCTAGACGAAACGCGCGTCTGGCGTAAAAATCATGAAACTTAGTATCGTTGATGATTATTTAGTGAGATTTACCCCACTTCTTATTTTTTCATATGTAAATTTACCTTTTTCGTTATGTTGCAAAACATTAAATGGAACCCTTTGCCTTTTGTGAAAGCTTTCTTTTTTTCGTCAAAACTTATGATATAGAGTTTTTTTTATTTAGCGGCGTTTTGCATTTGCGCCGATCTGCATTTCACTCGCGCCGATTTTTTCTTTCACTTGTGCCGATTATTTCTTTCATTTGCGCCAATTGTTTTACAGGTAAATTACAGGTGAAAACTATTTTTATTTATCATTATAAACCTCTTCCGCTAGCCAGTTATATATATGTTATGAATTATCAATTAAAACATGCATATAACTGTTGCCCCTGCCCACAATTGGGAGGTGGAAGTCGGATTTCGAGCAAAACTAGTCAATTTAAGGTTAAAAGCATTCTGTTTACATCCACTTAAATAACTGAGTACAGCAATAAAATATCAAATGATATAAAAATCTATTTACAGTCTTTAGAATATCAAAGGACAATAAAACCTCTTTACGCGATGAAAAAAGCACAGCACTAAAATGCAAAAAGGAGCAAATGGAACTTGAATTTATAAAATCGGCGCAAATGTCATACGCCCCTATTTAGTTGGATAATATTAGTTTCTTGTAAAATCCATGCAATTATTATAAGTCAGCTTTTTCGTTGCCAACCATACTGGCGACTGACACTAGGAAGGGAATTTTGTAATCATCCATTAGACGACAAATGCCACATGTATAGCAGGGTTTGGTCCCCTTTCGGAGTACTTGAGATCATCCCCGGTTTTTGGTGGGGTTCGTGATGTTCAGCCTTTGGTTTTCTATGTTGTGTTTTGTATACTGTTGTTTGTCTTTTGATCGTTTTTCGTTTCTTGCCAAAGTGTTGTCAGTTTGTCTTCGACTTATGAGTTTAAATGTGTCCCTTTTGGTATCTTTCGCCTCGCTTTTAGAAGGTTCGTTAGAACAAACTGTTGTCAGATAATTGTGGTTTGTCTATATGAATAGCTGTTCTAGTTCAAAACTCATTCTTTTTTTTCACCAATATAAGATTCTTTACAATTTGAACTATTAAGATAATGTATGGCGTTATTTTTTTACAAAACTTGATTTGTTTTACTTTTTACTATTCAATAACCAATGATAGGTTTACATGTTGTAATGTAATGTAATATTATATAATTTAATTGTGAATTTCTCTTTCCTGAGTGTTCTTGCGTTTATTTGTACTGTATACATGTCATGTAATGTTGTCATTTTAGCGGTATTTTTAACATTGCCATATAAGCGGGAGGTTTGGCTAGCCATAAAACCAGGTTCAACCCACCATCTTTTCTTGAAATGTCCTGTATCAAGTCAGGAATATGGCAGTTGTTATCAAATAGTCCGTTTCTATGTATGTTGGCGTTTGTTTTTGTAGCAGTTCAGTGTTTCTGTTGTTCCGTTGTTTTTCTCTTATAGTTGATGCGTTTCCTTCAGTTTTGGTTTGTGACCCGGATTTATTTCGCTTAATCGATTTATGACTATTGAACAGCGGTATACTACTGTTGCCTTTTTATATATATACTTATAGCGGATCTTTAAAATGCTTCTGGAGACAATTTAATGTCAAATTTCGAAGACGCTAAATTCTGTTTGTATTTTCGCGGCTCTTTCATACTGTCCATAATACAGAATATGTAAAACTTGTCTTTATGATGATGGTTTCCTGGAAATACACAAAAAAAAATCAAAGGCTTAGGATGGGTCGTAATAACCAATTCCAAAGCTTGCAGTTAGTATGAATAAGTCTGAAACCGTCTATGGAGACTGCAGGTGAGATGGGTGAACGAAAACTGAACGAGATATCTACAACTGACCCGTGTTTGATAGCAGTGAAGCTATTTCGTCTAAACCGTTTCCATTTATTCCTATTTCTTGGCAGATCCGTAGAATATTATCCAATGTTTTGTGTTGACAAAGTAAAAGTATTTCGCGTGTTGTTTTCACAGGATTATTTCTGTTTTGCTGTAGAATTTTGTTGTATTCCACAACATCCAGTCCTAGCTCAAGCGCCAAATACAAACTCCTTGTCAACAACCTAACAGCCAACTGATTCAGCAAAAGAGGGGATAAAGTAACCTCCCGTAACCTGTCAATCTTATCTGAAAAAGAAAAAAAACTGTAAAAAATACTGCAAGATAAAATTTCAATGAATGATAAATATGAATATATATATAGTAAAGCTAAAGATTACAATGAAGTATTTTTTTACATAGGCAACAATGGTAGCCTTTTTGGGTTAATTCTGCGTTTTCACTATTAAACATCCATTGAATAAACTGTAAAATTCTGAACTTTGAACATTTTTGGGTGTGAATAAAACTGCAAAACACATATGGTGCCGTAGCTTTTTTGATAGAAAAATTGTATTTTTTAAGGGTAATCTATGGTTCCGCAATTTTCGAAATAGTATGAATGAAGAACACAGTCATTTTGCTTAATTTTGCACGTCACAAATAGTTTCCTCTAAGTTTTTCGATATCTTTACACCAATAGCCAACATTCATTTCTCACTATTTCAATTTTCTTTTCTCAGCAGAAAAAGACAGCAGAAAAGAAATTTACTTCTAACTATTATCTTGGATGTAAATAAATAGGTGGCGCCCGTCATCTTTATTTACTTCCTTTTAACCTAAAGGATCCTTTTATTATAGTAATTGGTGTTCAGGAAAGGCATCGTAAATTTGCAGATATAGCATTGATTGATTGATTGATTGATTGGTGTTTAACGCCACTTTCAACACTATTGTTCTATTTCATGGCGGTCAGTTTTTATTGAATCTATATAGCATTGATAGGGTAAATATCCGACTGAGAATAATTTTATGTAATAAGTGGTGTTAATCCTGTAAAATTAATGTGTACTATTATGTCTGATGGAAAATGTCGGTCGTAAAATTTTCGTACACTAAGGCGATCTTTTAATTGAAGCATCGTTGATTTTTTTTATCAGATTTTCATCTGCTATATAGTTGCTGTTGTAATTTTTCCACTTTAAAGATATGAGTTACTACAATTACACACCCCTGTTCCTGCTTCAACTGATAACGAAGTGTAAGGAAAAAATCTTCAATCACTTTGACAAGCGTTAAAACGTTTATTATCATACTACCATGTGGGATACGATTTAGTGCCAAGTATAAATGAAAACATGAAATATTTTCACTAAATGCATTTGCTGTAAAGAAAACAACAAGCTGGTGTCTGTGGGTGATATATTATTTACACGAGATGATTCTTTGAACCAGTATCCACTTTACCTTTACGTTTAATGTATAATTTCATATAAATTCAGTAAGAGAAAACAAAAATACCGAACTCCAAAGTAAATCCAAAAAGGGAAGTCCATAAAACTTGACAAAATCAAATGTTAGACTATATCAACCAACGGAACGAAATAAATACTTCTGTAATATCCTGACTTGGTACAGGCATTTCCGAGGGAAATGGTGGGTTCAACCTGGTTTTAAAGCCAGCTTAACCTCTCACTTGTATTATAGTTGTTTACGGTGCCATTATATTGATAAAAGCAACCATAACAGATATAATTGATTAATGTGACAATAATTGGATCCAGCAGTCAAAACTTTGGAAACATACATGCACCTGTCCTAAGTCAGAAATCTGATGTTCAGTAGTTGTCGTTTGTTGATGTGGTTCATAAGTGTTTCTCGTTTCTCGTTTTTTTATATAGATTAGACCGTTGGTTTTCCCGTTTGAATGGTTTTACACTATAGTAATTTGTGGGGCCCTTTATGACTTGCTGTTCGATGTGAGCCAAGGCTCCGTGTTGAAGACCGTACTTTGACCTATAATGGTTTACTTTTATAAATTTTGACTTGGATGGAGAGTTGTCTCATTGGCACTCATACCACATCTTCTTATATCTATGTAAAATTCTTAAAAGTACAGAAATACATATGGAAAAATCCTCAATATTTGGCCTCAGTACGCTATAATGTACATCTAGCAGTAACAAGAACAACAATACATGTGAATGCTTATAACCGACTTTATGTTAACAGGGATTAAGTTCAAAAGTTGAGAACATCATGCGGATGATCCCGTTAGTAATTTTTCTAAAACGCTCATCGGTTTAAATGGAAAGGTGATTGATTGCCTTGTGAACAGGTAAGACGGCTTTGAAGAATTAGCTCTACTCTCCATGTTCTATTTCAGTGGGTGACCATGTTGGTCAGTCGAACCCACTTAGTTTTAAATACAATTTTTCCCCAATTTTCACAAAACATATTATGCACAACTAATGTGAAGTACAACTATACAAAATGTTGTTCAAATTATACTCATACATTGAGATTTTGCATTCACAAAAAGTATTTTTCAAAATGTTTGATTGTTTAACAAAAACATAAGTTTTCACCAAAAGTACTTATTATATTTTCACATATAATATGTAAATTGTTAAAAAGAATATAAGCAAAAAATGCTAGTCTAACTCTTCCTAACTTGAGTTTCCAATAATCTTTCTGGTTTGATTGGCCCTTCAACGATTTCATTGGGTTTTGAATTTTCAAAGATTTTGGGCTTGAGCAAAATGAATTTTGTGCAGTAAAATTAGTAAGTTAATGTTACATAGTAAAAGAGGAATTCTACATTATTTATCGCGATTGAATATCATTTTCATCATTATTGTTCCAGACAAAAACCTTCAGATACTAAAACTGTACAAAACGCGAAACAATGTATGTTTAAAATTAAGAAAAAGTTTTTACCGCAAATGTTTCCAATAGTCACAAAAAAAATCTCATTTACATGTGGAGCACAACCGCATAAAATATGTTCCAGTCCGATTCATTTGTTTGGAAAAAAAATAGTTCTCAAAATCTGTGTGTTATTTTACAAACTTTTTCTTAAACAGATTTTTCAATTTTTACATGAAAATATGAAGATCAACATATTTTGCGCAACAACTGTCCAACTTTTCTTCTGGAAATTGCATTCTCAGAAATTATGAACTGACAGACGTACGCACAAAGTGAGGTATACGACCCTCGAGTAGGTCTCTTATTAACTTGATTCGTTTTTCTTACAGAAATCATTTTTACTTGAAGTTGTTGCAGCAAATACCAAATTTTAGTGCTTTGAATATTGAATTGAACATCGACCTCACGCAATTGAGACAAGCGCCAGTGGGGACCACCGGTGCGTTAATATATACCATTAAATAGCAAACGAATTAATTTTCATCAGTTTCTGTAATAAATTTTAAATCAATCATTATGTTTACATCTATTTTATGATTGGTCTTGGGTCGAAGATTAAGCAGTTTCACTCTATTAGTTAACATTAAACACCAATCTAACAGGTGTATAAAAGGTGTTTTAAGTCCATAATAATATACATACACATTATCTCATATAAATGTTTTGTAATTTCAAATAACCTCATTGGTTAAAAACGGACCAATGAAATAGTGGATTGAAAGAATTATAGTAGTAGTATATCAAATTTCATTCTAATCACAGGAAAAATAATCAAACGATGTTATAAATCAACACGTTTTAAGTTTTATTCAATGAATATGTCATTTGTATATCTGACTGAATTAGATTTAATTTGTTCGTAATATTGTGTGTATAATTAATTGTGGTATCCAATAAATGTACAGATTGATTGATAAATCGTCCAAAAACAAAACAGAAAATTCACACAAAATATGTAACAAACGTGCTTAAAAGTGATTGCATGTAAATATAAAGAAAACCAAAACGAAACTTTGTCGGCTTTTCACAATGAAAACTAATTAATTGTGTTCTCTTGCCTAGACTTCAAATTATAAATTTAAGTTACAAAGTGTAATAATTATACAAGTTGTCTATCAAACGTCATGTGTTCGAGTCTATCAGTCATTAAAATTTATCTTTGCTTTTCGTCTTCCTATTTATATGATTTTAGGCAAAACTGCAAAAAATTCAAATACTCTCCGGTTTTGGTAACTCTTGAATATTCATTATTTTTATTCGTGTGTACAAAAGAAATAATCTGGAAAGGATTCAAGATTATAATAATTTTTCAAAATTTCATCCATTTGTTTTTGAATCTTTTGATATATTCAATAAGAAATATGATTCACTTTATTCATCCTAATGTTCTTGCTTCATGCACATCGTTTTTTAAACATCCAATTGCGAGATTACTTTTGTTCAACGCTGAATACCACCCTAAATTGTTTTACGTGTATATACATAGAACCAATAATCATGATAATACGCATATTGATAAGTTCTTTCAAACTTACTGTTTTATGCGATCACGGACCTTACTACATAATTCGTATAAATTCTTTGTTAGAAATATAATTAAATTTTACCTGACTTACATATCCCATGGTCACTGTTAGTATCTCTGTGTATCTGAAAGACAAATGAACAAAATGAAAGTAAATATTATAATTTCTTATTTAAAAGTTAACAAAATCGATGTTTTGAAAATGGAAAATTTGTGCAACCAGAATGCTATTTGTATCAACATTTATTTTTTGACTAGCTACCAGAAATTGTAATAAATTTTGAACCAATTTTGAAATACATTAACTTTGATCATGAAAATTTCTAAATTTTGCACATGAAACAGTAAATAATGCATGTGTTGTTACCTGGAAAACACGTCTTAACATAAAATTAATTAATTATTTTTTTTATGTTTTTATAGTTTCAAATGACTTGAAACAAGCAACTGGATTTTATTTGATAGAAATGCATTGAATTATTTGATCTATAGATTAAATGATTGTTGGTGTTCACTTGAACAACATGAAAGGTATCACTAGTGGAACATGATCTGTTTACCCTTAAGAAGCGGTTGAGCTCAACTTGGTGGGGTTCGTGTTGTTGAGTCTTTAGTATTCTGTGAAGTGTTTTGTTGACTGCATGTTATTTGTCATTTTTTCTTCTCTTTGGCCGTGGTATATTTTGTTTGATTGTTCCCTTGGTATCTTCTACGTCTTTTTTTACACCCTTGCAGCACATATTATATCGAGGCGAGGATCAAGAAATCAATAATGAAAAATGAAACTGAACTGAAAGGAAGGAAATGGAACCCGAAATGGTAACGAACTTTGACTGCAAAGGGAAGTATGTAAGAGTTAGATAGGGTCCAACAAATTTAGTCCTAAAAAGGCCCATAAGAGCCTGTTTGTTATGAATGATGTTTCGTGTTAGGAACCTGAAACTCTCCAATTACTAACTAACGATTTTATTTGGATTATTCTTAGTTTTAGTTTTTAGTTTGTTTGATTTATACGGTGTATTTTGTTTGATTGTTGTTTAAGAACTCGTTAAAAATTCCCCTACCTTGCATTAAATTGGTTTTTATTCTTTACAATTGATCAGGTGTTTTATGAAGTGAAGAATTCGTACAGAATCCTCCTTTTTTTTCATGAAGTTCATATCTGTTCCTTACAATTGATACATTTTTGCAGGAAATCGTTAAAGAGTTTCACTACCTTGCATAACATTTCATTTTTTCGTAATAATTGATCAATCTTTTAGGAAGAATTCGTAATGGAGTTTCCTCATCATCATTATATATATATATGTTCTTTAATAATGACCAATCTTTTTGGAAGAATTCGTTTAGGAGTTTCCTTACCGAACACAGAATGTGTTTTTGTTCATCACAATTGATCAGTTTTTTTTTGGTTTTACTTACCATGCACAGAATGTGTTTTTGTGCACCACAATTGATCAGTTTTTTTTGGTTTTACTTACCATGCACAGAATGTGTTTTTGTTCACCACAATTGATCAGTTTTTTCTGCAGATCCTTCATTGTTAATTGTTTTGCCGTATTTCTCCAACCGATTAAGGTTAATAGTAACTGAGTATCTATATTTGAACTGGTATGCACTATAACCTCTGCTGTCAGTGAATTCAAAATTCTTCGTCTAGAACTAGGTGACATTCTTCTTATCATTCTGCTGAGATCTGAATCGGTGGCAGTTTCTGTCAAAGACTGAGCATTCAAGCCTACGGCGAAAAACAAAAGAAAACATTTATTCGTTCCATTATTCATTCGATGATAAGGTTTGATAAATTATCTTTACAAATGTTAAGGTAATAGTGGTATAATAGAGTTATTGGTAGCGCATCCTTCCGCATCTACTAATATGGACATTTTTAAATCCATGCATTATTAGAATTATAAACCATTGACTCGATTTTAGAACAGCTAAACAATTTCTTTTGTCATGATGACTTTGTGCATGTTCTTCTGTCGATATTTTTATTAGAATAATTTTTGGTCATTTCTATTGTAAACATTTAATGTAGTTCTCTATATATAGATATGTATTTAAAAATTAAAAGACATTCCATTCCGGAGTCTGTCGCAAACAATTAATACACATTTTACATTCCTCGGTACATATTGCCATTGTGCTTCTTATTTTATTTTTATTAGACCTATTTTAAAGGTTTTCTATAGCAAACATTCATTTAACAATATTTTGAACACTGACTTCTATTAGGACAGCTATATACAAGTAAGGAGATGTGGTATGATTGCCAATGAGACAACTATTCACCAAAGTTCAAATGAAGTGGATGTAAGCAATTTTGGGCAACTGTACGGCCTTTAACAATGAGAAAACCCCTAACCATCCCCATCAACATCTCCTCCTTAATCTCGCACATGGTCTTTTAATGGCCTAAATATTATTACATCGTCAAAAGAAAGACCAATAGGTGATAATCTAGGCAACATTTTACAAATCTACAACAAAACCTGACTACGTTTAAACCTAAAGATGAGAATATATGTTTTGAAATGCAACATGGCTTTCCCAACAATGCAAAATTAAACATACCTTCACATGAAGTGTTGCACTTGTCTACATCTATCATTGAACATGTCTGTTGAATATACAACATGAACTGTATTGAGTCATTATATATTGTCTATGTTCGTAGATCCGTGTATACCATACTTTTGCAGTATTAAAATTAAACTATTGATTTTTTACTTGAGAGGGACTGCTGCTTACAAGAAAGTTATTGAATACAGATTTCTCAAAAATAGAGTAAGTCATCTCTTCGAAAGTTTGTCGGACTTAATCATAAATTGATTCACCGTTATAGAATATCTCATATAATCACAGCTGTGTTCCCCTCACTGAATGCAACGTATCAAAGGATTGTAACTTACCATGAGCAACGTGACGGGTGACAATAGTGAAACAGAAACAGTTTACCAGTTGCTTTTGGTTGAGTTAGTTTTGCTTAATATTTTCTATGTAATGTTTATGACTGTTCGTTTGTTTGTCTTTTCGACTTATGAGTTTGAATGTCTCTTTGGTATCTTTCGACTCTCTTTTAAGACTCCATCAGATGAGCATTTAAGTTTAAAATTCATATTTTTACGTGATGTGTTATTGCCCAAATATTTGATATTTTGACTCGGATTTACTTGAAACACGATTTTTTTTTTAATTTAATTTATAAATTTGCTTCAAGTTATTTTTAATATGGCAAGATTGTGAACTACAATTGACATACATGATTTCAAAATACAAAGATGAATAGTAATGGTTGTGCTTTTTTGTTATTTTACTTTTTATTTTTATATAGCATATTTTTGGTAAAGCTTACAAGATTTCCCATGTGTTTTATATTCATTTTGAAAGATGACGATATGATTTGAAGAATCAATATAAAGAAATTTAACAAAGAAAAGAATAAAGAAACAGCTAACGTTGGGAATATTTAACAAGTTACTAGTACCTGGCGTGTAAGGTTCCATACACTGAGTATTTCTTGTGGATCCACAAACGTCCCATGTATTCTACATGTATACGAATCGATTTGCTCCAGTTTTGTCGAGGCAACAAAACAGGGAGGTGTGAGATTACAAGTTTCAAATTCCACGCACAGTTCTTCTTTTTTCAATTGATTCTTATTTGTAAATACGTTTATTATTTGTTTTAATGTGTATACCGTTAGTTCGTGAATGCTACTGCAGATTTCAGCTTTTGAAGAACTTTGAGTTGGTTTATCAGAAGTATTTCTAGTTACGTGTAAAATTATCATGTCGGCATCATTGATAATACTTAAGCAATATAATGTGTCTATGGTAAATGCAACGAAATTCTTAAATACAATCGGCTTGCCATGAATTCGTTTGAAAGGAAATACATCAAACAGTGCACACGATAACTGTTTGAAAATTAACGAAATTTGAATGCAATTTCTTAGTCTATATGCAACGCATGCACTTTGATCAAATTTTCTAAACTGCAACGCAAGTCCATCGGGTGCCATCTCTTTCATATATGATGATAGAAACAATTCGGTGTGATGCGAACTTGACTGCAGTCTACATGAGTTGGTTGATGCTAAATAGAGTAAACATGTTATATGAAATAGCGAATCATTTGCTGAGATGTAACACTTGGTGATACTTTTATCGACATAACCTTCACTCACAATCTTCAGTTTATCATGAAGAGGCGCACATTCGTATTTATCATTACCTAACATTATTGACACATGATTGAAAAATATAACTAATTGATAAAGAATAGAAACGTCTACACAAATGTTGTTTAGAGTGTCATCTGATGGTAGACTAAGTATATTTCCGTTTCGAGTTTGATATTTTAAGAATTTTTCTACATCTAGCTTTGTTGGCACTGTAATATGCTTGGCTTGATTGACGCAGAGTTCTACTGCATCTCTATGGTTGATGATCCCAGCACTACTCTTCCTGGTTGAAATAATAACATCTTGTAAGGAAAGCCATGTTGCTGGCACAGGTGCCCTCGCCTCAATAGTTTTGCATGCTATAGAGGAAATATGTTGAGTGAGTTTGACAATTTTATCAGTATATAAATCCTCAAATGTGAACTCTAGCTCATTGTCAATAATAACGTAATCACACATGTCTGTGTTATCTACAATGTCTGTAATCGTCTTCAGCAATCCAGAACCATCTTTAGTTGCCTCCTAAATACGATACATGAAATCAATTTTCAATTGTTTTTAATTTTGGGTTACGTAATGTAATTCTAAACTGAATTTATATCATATAAGAATTAAAGAAGATTGTGGGCACCACAACGACACAAATAATCATTAAACATCGATAAGTAAACATAAAGTCAGTGTGCATATAATAGATTGTGGTGTGAAGTCTCCGAAAAAAGAAATTCAGAGCTTAAATGAAAGAAATGTATGAATAAAGCATTGTAGAAATATAGTATACCAATATCAGTTCAATGGTAAGTCCAGAAAATAAGAGTAAGCATTTGAATCGAGCTTTTATGTACCGTTCCTTGCAAAAATGAAAATAAATACTAATCATGAGAAGGAATTAGTAAAATAAAATGTTATCTCCTTTACAATACGTTTCTTATTTTTTAACTTGTTTTTTGTCGAAAACCATTTAGAAACAAATGCAGAGTGAGTATATCAAATAAGATAATTTTACTGCAACCAAAGACCTATGAAATTGTTATTCTCCTATAGATCTTTTTGTGTACAGGCTGTTCTTTCAACATAAACATCGTTGTAAACTTGACACAAATAAACCAATTAACTCTTTCTTACCTTTAATGTTAAAATTGCAAAATTGTACTTTCAGCCAAATGTCAAATGAAATGATTCAGCCGAAGCTGTATAACAGAATAAATATACGCCAACATACACATTCCCTCGATTGTGTAACATCTATCTCACTACATATATACAACTCGAAACTATACCTCTTCATTCGATCCGCAATTCAGAACAACAAAAACCATTTTAGAAAACATGTCGTCAGTTAAATCTTCATTCCGTCCAGTAATTGTATCCATCAAGTATTTTATATAATCTGTAATTTGAAAAAAGGTATTTCTTAATACCTAAAAAAATTAATACTTTTTTTTTTCATTCCTTATTAGCAGACGCTTCCACTCTTAAAGTCTATTTTTTCTTGTATAGATTGAATAAGAAAATGAAAACAACACTTTATTAATTTTATGAGTCCAAAGCGCTTTTCTGGATTTACCTTCATCAGGAACGCTCAAAGCCGAATATTTGAAAGCCAAGGATGTACAAGAACCGAAACAGTCGAAGGGCTATATTACTAAAAAAGGAACAAAAAAATAGCCAAATTCATCTAAGGTCAACTTTGTCAGAGGGAGTTGAAACCATAGTTTCTAATAATTTCGAAATTTATTAACGGACAATTTTAGAAATGTTTGTTGTAAATCATGTCAGTACCGAAGTACCGAAGTGCTGGCTACTGGGCTAATGATACCCTCGAGGAATGATAGTCCACCAGTAGAGCCAGTGCTGTAAAAAATGAAAACAACAAGTTTTAAATTTTATGCTTCCGAGGCTTTTCTAGATTTACCTTCATCAGGAACGCTCACAGCCGAATATTTGAAAGCCAAGGATGTACAAGAACCGAAACAGTTGAAGAGCTATATTACCAAAAAGAACCTAAACAAAATAGCCAAATCCATCTAAGGTCAACTTTGCCTAAGGGAGTTGAAACCTTAGTTTCTAATAATTTCGAAATTTATTAACGGGCAATTTTAGAAAGGATTGTTATATATCATGTCAGTACCGAAATACTGACTACTGAGCTGATGATACCCTCGGGGACTGATAGTCCACCAGCAGAGGTATCGACCCAGTGCTGTAAAAAATGAAAACAACACGTTATGAATAATAACCGTACACTATCTGTATGTTAAAAATTAATCCTAATTCTAGCATTATCGTACTCTTCTATCCCGTTTCGTGTCTTGTGCAATTTAAATCTGACATCGCATATTGCAACGCTTAAAACTATTCAAACATTTTTTTTCCTATAAATGTTATTTTAAAATTGAAAATAAGGCACATAAATATGAGGGAGAATCTGCATTATCCATAACCCCCTCTCTCAATTAATTGATGGTGGTAATGAACGTTTTATGTCATAGCATAGCATTTAGAGAATCAGACAAGCAAAATTACAATCTTTACAAAGCATGTGGAGATTTTTGTAGGTTTTTTTATGTTTATATTTGTCTACAAAAGACTCATCAGTGACGCTCGAATCAAAAAAGTAAAAAGAAAAAGGCCAAACAAAGTACGGAAAAACTCTGTGAATTAAAAGCCACAGTTGATTGGAGATGATTTGAAATGCGATTAGATACAAAAATCCACATGTTCAACTTATAGTCTCCAATCATTTATACTAGAGACAGTGTAGATGTTAGTTAACTACTCCATATATGGAACAAAAAAGCAAAAGAAAGGCCCTGTTATGCCAAAACAATCTAATTTATAAAGATATACAATATTTTGTTAAAATTTACAAACTAGATTTTGAAAATAACCCTAAAGTTTCATTAGAATCTATAATTCTCTATCATGAAGTATTTTCTGTGCAACACTCACCTCTATTTGTCACAGGAGTGTTGATTTCAGACAAAACAGAACAAAATCTATCGATATCGATATCTAAATCTAGAACAACAATATATATTGCACTTGACGTAAACAAAAACTTATGGGCTGCTGCGAATTCAAATTTTGTTGATAGTGAGCACAGAGAAATTGATGCTAGATTACTATTATCTGTATTCATTGTTCGCTTTACATGTTCGAATGTTTCATAAACCTGCTTTCTGTTTTTCACTAATGCCACTTTAGGATCTAGATTTACGGTTTCTGACATTTCTCCATGTATTATCGTATCCATTTTCTGTTGTATTGTTTGTGCCGCTTTTGCAAATTTTTTCTTAGTATTTGATACGAACTGCTTAAATTTTACTTGAGCGCCATCACTAGGAACACGTTCAGCTGCATCGAAAGAATTGACGCTATCACCTGATGGCATGGAGATATCCATATTACCCAGTGACACGACGCTCCTTTCAGATTTAAGGGAATATAAACTAGTTGATGTTGTAGACCTTTGCAACAGTAAATTACTACTACTACTGTTATGCAGACCATTTAAATGAGGACTAAGACTGAATGGTTTTAGCTGCAGTTCTGGAGCATAGACAGTGTTACTTCTAAACAGATAAGACTGTTTATTTGCTTTGAGGCATTTCTCGTTCTCTGCTTCTGTTTTGAAATCATGTGTGTTGACATAGTGTCGGACGACCTCTCCCATCTGTCTGTGAACTAATTCCGCATCTGAAACTGAGAATAGTATTGTGAATCATTATAAAAATAATTATTTATTTCAAAGTAGTGACTATTAAATTGTTTATTTCATTTTGTATTTTATAACATGTCCCTTGTTTCTATATATTATTTATATAAACCTTTAATATCAAGTTTACACAATATTACTGAATTCGGTTTTATACGTCTTTACTATTTTTTTTTAACTTACACTTTAATTTTGATTTGAGTTTTTAATTGTGCACAACAAGGCATAAAATAAACGTTTTTATCCTTACGGACACCACATGTGATCACATACCACTAGACAGTTGTCTGATGCTACTACCCCGTTCAACATAAGCACAGAAAAAAATAAGGCGAATTCTATGCATGGATATTTTTTCTTTAACTTTGTACTCATGTAAGAACTGAATTTCCGGGTAAAACATGTGTATTCAAAAACAGTAGTTTACCAATGTTCCAATCTGGTAAATCGACTAAAAAGTGATAAATCAAGGTAACAAATAAAAAGCGGGGGTATCACATGAACTCCAAAAGAGTGAGACCGGTGTATTGACAGTGTAAGCATCTCCTGTTATGCATGCATTACCCGACATGCGAATTCAAACTCAGTCAAAATGTCACATAAACTTGTGCAAAAATGGTCAGTCATATCAAGTGATATAGAAATTAATTTTAAATACTTTTTTCGTGTGTTATCCATTCTCCACTTTCAATATTCATTTCACACATTCCATTATAGATATTTATTCCGTTTTCAATGTCTACATCTTTATCAGAGTAAGTTGACTGACGAATGAGAGCACGCATAACAACCATAGCAGAACGGTCATTTAATCCAATCACCCGTACGCTTACATCAGATGGACGGTATTCGCTTTTTTCGAGGCAGATTCGAAATTCTTCTGGTGTTAAAGTAAACATTTTCTCTGTAGATAAAATAATAAGTATACACAAAATGAAGTTTGTTTTATAGTTTACTTATTTATACATGTATATATAGTGTCAGATTTCAAACATTTTATCTTTATTCTTTTGTTGCTCTTTTTTTTGGGGGGGGGGGGGGGGGGGGGGGAGGGGGGTTCCATTAGATTTGACGTTTCAACGACAACTCAAACTACTTAACCTGCTTATATGAAATTATGTCGCCCTACACTCTTATATCGATTTCTGTTCGTGTATGACCTTTCCATGGCTATGATATCATTACAGGTTACAAGAGCGCAATTATTTGTTTACATTTTACCGGCAAGTTTTTTTACCCCAAGATGGTACTCAGAATAGAATCCTATACGGCTTCTGATTGGATGATGCAGGATTGGAATTACATTTAATCGAAAGCCTATCCAATTAGGTTTAAAAATTGCAGAAAATCATATTCACATTTTACGAAGTATAGAAAATATCCTCCATTTCTGCACGATCCTATATATTTTTTTGGTTGTAATGCAACACTGGCATTTCTAGTAACAGGAACTGCAATTCGTTTTTCCTAAGTTTGTATAGTCTTCGAGAAAAAAAATACGGAACACCAGTGGTACCCTATGGAAAATGCATTACGAATAATTGCGCTCTTGTAACCTACACATGCATTTCATATTAAGGAAGCAAAAAATGAAAGTTAAACACAGAGGAAATGTCCAAAAGTTATTCCATACATCTAGAAAGTCAAAGACAATTTTATTTTTTTTCAATTCTGAAACATATATATTTCAAGCAAAGGATCGCGGAAAATATGCATTGTTACTTTGTACAACAATATTTTACATGCACATATGTGTCGTGGTCAATTTCGTCGAAGAGTTGATGGTCAATACTTAAATCAGTTGAATAATGTTTCATTTTGATAAATGTTGACATTTTATACGATATATGGGATGGATAAGTTTATCAAAATATTCAGTTACCATAATGCAAGCTTTGGTGTAAAATAAACTGCATATGTCAGTAGAATGATTTCATGAGACTTGTTAGCTTTAGCATGGATGTAAAGCTATACATATCTATAAGTTATTAGTTAGAATATCAACTAGAGCACACGCAATTTTATTAAGAGATTGTATTTATGATCACTCATTTTATGTCTGGTATATTTTACATGTTATATGAAGATATGTGAATATTAATGATGTGAACATTAAACAAACTTTTAGATTTAATAACTAGTGGATAAGGATAGAGAAATATTATAGCTGGTTCCCTATTTTGATGGGCTAATGTCATATGAGTATGGATTTTACGATCCCGGACCCATAATCCGAACTTGCACAATAGCTATTACACATAATATAACATAAAGATCAATCACTATACAAACACTACCATGCTAACGATTATTACTGTTACGATATAATTCATTATTCTTTTTGAAGTCATTTAATATCTTGCAACCATAGGATCATCAAATCCATCCCCTACTTTTCATTTTTGCGAATCTTCTTGGTTTTTTTAATGTCTATATTTGTTTACGAATATCCTGTCATTTTTGCACTCAAGATGTACTTAAGAGGTTAAATCTTACATACCATTTACTTGTTTTGTAGCTGAATATGATGTAAAAACAAGTAAACAATTATAATGTCGAAACCGCACAATTAGATATGTGGTTTGGTCTTTGTTTACGAAATAACTATTTACACAAGCCATTCTCATTTACAAACATAGGAAGATATGTTATGTCTTCTTATGTTAAACATTCACAATATAATCCTGTATTAAAGAAATTTGCCTGGATGAGTAGGTATTCTTCATGTTACTTTGGTTCTTAGAGTTTCAAAAATTTGTGAATGAATGCATGAAACTGCTGTAGGCATCAAAATTTTGAACACGCTTATATTGATTGCGGGGGAAATACAGTTTTTATTCTTTCGGCTACCTAGAAAAAAGACACTCCAAATGATAAAGACACCGAACAATACACATTTGACTTAATATTGCAATAGTATATTTTAAGCTGTTGCACAACAAAGTGCTAATGACAAGACCTCGAAATAAGGTAAATCAGTTTTGTAGTTTTTGCAGTTTTTTGTATCAAATGTAAGAAGTTTAACGCTTACAGCAAACATGTAGGACAGAAGTAGAAGATACTGATATTTGACAGACTATCAACAGGTGCGAGACGATATTTGTTAAAATATGTATATATATATACTGAAAAACCTTCATGTATTCAATATTTGTACATATATATATTTTAAAAAACCATCGTCTCGAACCTGAGACTAGTGAGAATATCGTCTTGGGAATATCTAATGGTGGCTAATGATTTTGTAACACTTTTATATTTCGAATTCAATTGGCAACTTGACCTTATGATACCTTCTGCTCAAAAGAATAAAAGGAACAAGCCGCTTTCATATCAAAACAAAACAAAGCTTTGCAGTTTGCAATGTGAGTCTCTATGTGTTTAATTATGTTAAAGAATTTTGTTTTTTTATTTCACACAAAAGTTATGAGGTCATGAACAAACGAAACAAAACATATACAAACCTTGCTTCCGTAGGGCCTGTATGATAAAAAAAACTCGGGCTTTACCAAATGAATACATGCATACACATAATTGATTCATTTTAGATGGTAGTCTTGTTTTTCCTATTATACCTGTGCAAAAACCATTCATAACAATTTCACAAATATAATTATCATTTTTCGCACTCTTCTTATACTTTCACAATGTTAAAATCAAATAAAATCACATCCCTTTTTGTTTATATCACTACTTACATCATGTTGTAATTTTAGCAGAATACTATAGCTGTTATTTAAAAGAATGCAATAGTCATATATGTTACCTTTATCCCATCAGCATCGCTCAGTAGTTCAACAATTCTTTCCAACTGTCTGCATTTTTCTTCTTTTTTCAGTTTTTTCGTTTTGCATAATGATTCAATAGCTACATCCAAGGCTGTCTTTTTAAACTGTATTCATAAAATTCATTAAATAAAAATATATTAAAAAAAGATATATACCTTTTTCCCATATGTCAAATTTCCTTCATCATGTATACTCAATGCAAAATAGTATCAGAGCAAAATACACATAACTTATTCGGACAAAGTGCATTTTAGCCTTATTAGATCGGTAAAGGGATTCAATTAGCAATTCTTATTAAAGAAGGTGATTGGTAATGTTACAATTGGGACAACTATCTACCCGAGACCAAATGACGTAGATGTTAGCAACAACAGGTCATCGTACGACCATCAGCAAAGAGCAAAACCCATATCGCACAACAATAGATAATAGGCATCGACTTGTACAAAACTACTTACGAAACTGTGACACTAGGTATGAATGATCTTATCGATTTGATGTTTTATTGAAACTAATAATGATCAATTATTACTTGGTTATAGGAATATATATGTCACAGATAAACACGGTTGAAGCCACATTCTTTCTTTGTTTATGATTTATCTACAAATGCGACTTATAGCCAAATCTTTACTTTCTATCATAAGCAACACGACAGATGCAACAAGTGAGGCAGGAACTGCATACCCTTCTGTTGCATCTGCCTTCGCGAAAAGATTTTTTTTTTTTTTTTTTTTTATTTCATTTTTGATATTTTCTATTTTTCTATCCGTTATTGTAGGAAAAAACTATATGCAGTTTCATTTTAAGATACTGTATTTGTGAATAAGTCTTTTAAAATTGTCATGAACTGATAAATGATAAATGGTAATGTTCATAGCAATGCACTATTGTAAGATGTTTTAATACCGATTTGACTTATCGTCTATGATAATTCGTTTGCAGTTGAAAATATCTGTCCTTCTTGGACTGATGATTTTATTGCCCCTTGGTAATTCATCACTTTTTTATCATCATTCTAGAAAGATGCTTAATAATTTGATATCAGTCTCCATCATTTTCATCTGACAGAAATATTATAAATTATACTTACATTGTGAAAGTTGTACACAAATATGATTATTTTAATCTTGACTGTTTATCGGATTAAACATACTGAGTAAACTTTATTGTGTGATTTTAAAAGACAGAGTTGTATCTTTTGCATAATTTTCATATTGGATGTTTCTACCCAATTATTTTTGAAATAAAGGATGCCAAAGATAATGCTTGGTATGTTTCTTGTCGTGGCTTACACCTGTATATAGGCAGTGAGGATCGGTTTGACAACTTTAATTTTCATATATCAATACAAGTATTCCTACAGCACCTAAATATGGAGTTTTGTGAATCTGTCAATTGATACCATATTTCAGCGATTGTGTGCTTCATATCAGGATTCTTTGAAAAGGTGATTGGTACTTAAAAGAAGCTACTGTGACACTACTTATGAATGAGGTTATTAATTTGACGTTTTATTGAAATTAATAATGTTCAATAATTTCTTGGTTATCGGAATATATATGTCACAGATAGACACGGATATATTCCTTTTGTTGAAGCCACCATTCTTTCTTTGTTAATGATTTATCTACAAATGCGACTTATAGCCAAATCTTTACTTTCTATCATAAGCAACACGACAGATGCAACAAGTGAGGCAGGAACTGCATACCCTTCTGTTGCATCTGCCTTCGCGAAAAGAAATTTTAATGGAGATCAGTTGCTTTTACTTTCGTTTTTTTTCGTTTTTTATTTTTTTATTTTTCTATCCGTTATTGTAGGAAGAAACTATATGCATTTTCATTTTAAGATAATGTATTCGTGAATAAGACTTATAAAATTTTCATGAACTAATAATTGATAAATTGTAATGTTCATTAGATAACCAAGGAAGCAACGCACAATTATGAGATGCTTTAATACCGATTTGACTTATCCTCTATGATAATTTGTTTGCAGTCGAAAATGTCTGTCCTTTTTGGACTGATGATTGTATTGCCTTTTGGTAATTCGTCACTTTTTTATCATTATTCTAGAAAGATGTTTAATAATTTAATAGCAGTTTCCATTAACTTTATCTGACAGAAATATAATGAATTAGACTTGCATTGTGAAAGTTGTACACAAATATAATTAATTTAATCTTATTTGTTTGTCGACTTAAACATACTGGGTTAACTTCATTGTGTGATTTTAGAAGGCAGAGTTGTATCTTTTGCATAAAGTTACCGATTCGTCATTGACAGATAGCTTTCGTACTCGTTTAGTTTTTCAGTTAGAACAAAAAGAGGGAGGGGCGCAAAGGGGCAATCAAAAACAATGTCGTAAAAAGCAGGGCCAAAATGAAAAACATTGCATAAAAATCTAGATTGTGCAACACAAAACAGGTGCTCCGGAAGGGAAGCAGTTCCTGTTCCACTCGTGGAAACCGTTGTGTTACTCGTGGAAACAAATAAAAATTGGATGGTAAGTTGCATTCGGTGATTTCACAATTTAGTAAAGGAGGATGTGAACAAGACTACATATGTTGTTCTTTGGCCATACACATATTAAACGCCGTTTATTTCACTTAACATTATAAAACATACCAAACAAATGTACATACCTTACTGTGTACAGTATAGTCGCCACCAACCATAACAAGTCTACGTACACAGTCATAGTGACCATATTTACTAGTTATGTATATTGGTGTTTCATCATTCTATGAAAAATATACACTAGAAATATAGATTCTCCGTTTCAGAAATATAATGCATTATGTGTTATATTTTTGGTGTACTCTGCGATCACATTTTGTATTTTTTTTAACAATGTGTTTAAATTGAACATTGGATCGTTATATCATTGATGCGTCAAACAAATAAGGATCATATCAGTATTTTTATAAAATGTAATTAGTTAAATTTCAATAATTGAATACGTTTGATTCGAAATAGAAGTATGATAGCATCATATTTTAAATAAGAAAATAAGATGTTAAGTTTGTAAAAAATCAAATTTCACGTTGAAGTAATGATTGAACAAGAAGTTAAATATTATTTTCATTAAAAAAAAAGTTTTAAAAAGTTGTCCACCGTTTCTAAGAAAGGATTACTCACTTTATTTCTGTGATTTACGTCTGCTCCAAGTTCTATCAAACGACACATGATATCAAAGCAACCTTTGTAGGAAGCATGAATTAATGCTGTCTCGCCATCCTGTAACATCAAGGTATTGTAAAACATTATCGTGGTTTTGTCAATACAATTGTTAGATGACTACCGTTGTACAGTATCAAATGACCATTCCTTTTTTCAATATATTTATTTATGTTACATTTGGAAAACACAGATTTCAGAAATTCTGTAAATTAACTAAAATGTAGTATTTAACTGTCTATACAAATTCAATATTCAATTCTGTTCTGTCTGTTTCAGTTGTGGTAGCATGCTAATGGATTTGACCAAACTTCTAACTATATATTCATGATATACCAGATAGAAAATTTAAAACTTACTTTGTAGTGGTGGGATTCAATCGTATGATCCAATACTGTGTATTATCACAATACAAATCAAGATTCATTTATTTATCTCTAATTTTAATTAAAACTTTTATTAATTCGAATACGTGTATAATTTTCACTGATATATAAGAAATAATGACAAAATAGTGGTGATATTTTTAACAACTGCATTTTATACTAAATGCTAATGAATTCAGTAACATTAATGATAATTGACTAAATTCCTTTTAAATATAAAGACGGAATGTGAAGAACACGTAAGAATTAAACTTTTATAGTTTTACATCCTTGTTTTCATTCTCCGTTGCAAAGACTTGCAATTCTCCAGTTTTCAAGAATGCAGTGCATTTCTTAATGAAGTATATAATTAATTCAAAATCGTCAGTAGATTGTTCTATGTTAAACCAAATAAGATGGAAAATTAAAATATTTGAGTTTCTTTTTGTTCAGTGCCTTCTGGATGGACGAACATCTAACTGTACGTGTTATACATTTGGGTTCTGCCAATTTTTTAAGGACGTACGGTGAAGTACATGTATAGTTGCTTCAATCCACGTCATCTGAATTCCGGGGGATAGGTGTCTCATTGGCAATTATATCATATCTCTTTATTTTATGATATAGGTCTTTATATAGACTTACAACATCAGCTCTATCTACAGAAGCACCTTGACAAACCAAACTTTCAAAAGAATCCAAGTTACCATACTGTGTGGCTTTTATTAGACTTGTTCTTCTGTACTGTGTTAGAGAAAATGTTTATATTTATCATATAATTCGATAAAAATGGCCAATCGATAAATCCAGGTGCACCTTTATCTGTTGTAATCGTTACAATTCCTATCAAAAATACACTTATGAACGTACAATGAAAGAAATAAAACATGGAAACTGTAATGAAATGCAGTTTATGTGTGAACCTCATTCTTTCCAAAACGGAATATGCCTATATTAAAACATTATTTATTTTTGGCTTGTCCCAAAATAATAGCTTGTAAGTCGTCTGAACAAATTATTGCATCTTTTCAAGATGAGTAGATTAAGCAATGAAAATAAATCTTATTCTACATTAAAAATAACCGTCTATCAATGATGTTATTCATTTATGATTGATTCTGCATTTGGATAAAGGGACAGTCATAAAATGATGTTCTTACTAGGTCAGACTTGTCAACTGTGGCTCCTTCCTTCAAATAAAACTTCAGCTTCTCAGTATCGTTTTTGTCAGCAGCCCATAGCAGACACTGTGAAAAACACAAATATATACATTGTATTGCTTGTTGTTGTGTAAGGAGTAAATTAGAAGTTTGTATAGTTATTTGGCATTTTGGCATACAATTGATACATGGCAAAGAGAATATTTGTGTGGAATTGAAATTGCGATGGTCAAAATCTTATTGTTGTTGATCATTGTTGTCTTAAATCCATTTTAATGTTCAAGATAATATACAATAATGTAATAATTGGTTGAAATTTTGGTTTTAGTGGAATAATGCTCGGAAGTAGTCGTTTGACGACTTTTCAATCATATGTGCAGATAACGTATAAGTGATCATTTTAGCTGTTCAAAGATTTTGTTTATCTATTATAATTTATAATCAAATGTACTAGATCTAGATGAAAACAATTATCATTTAAGGGCTGTAACGCTTATCAGGTATCGACTGACGATTTCCGTCAATTTGACTTATTTGTAGATTTTAACTTGCTAATCCTTTTCTCTCTTTTTTCTAAAGTGCTTTTCAAAAATAGACTTTGCGCTATCTTAAGCCATGGTGGCCATTTTGGTTTGCAGGCGGGATCATTGTAATTTTTTTTAAACTTAATACCTTAAGGTTGATTGTGATTGATTTTTTTTTTCGCGATTGGCATAGAAGTTTAGAAAATACGAACAGAATTGAAGATTTAAATAAATGTTAACGGACGACGAACGATTACAGACGCCAAATGATGACAATAGCTCTTTGGGATTGTTTGGTTTTTTGCATAAACGACTGGTACAATCATTTTGTCATGCATCTACACAAAACTTATAAGACTGGTATCTTTAATGAGTTTTACACGTGCCTTATTGCCGGCTATTGGTATTGCAGATGCAATCGATAACACAGATCCGACAAATAGTTTTCAGTAGTTGTAGAAGGTTACTTCTGTTCGCATTTTCAACTGTTTATAACACCTCTACGTTATGTTTGTGTTGTTGTTCAACGGTATGGTAATGCTATATGTCAAATGTCTTTCAAATATTAGCTTTGACTTTATCGACTAACATTAATGTATGAGGTTGTGCAACCACTCGTTTTCAATAAAACTTTGTCAATGATGATATAACTCTTAGAAACTACTGTTTGATCGTCACATTTAAAGTTCGTAGAATCTATATAATTTTCAAACTGAAGATTTACCAATTTATAAAACCAAATAGACTGCAGATATATATTGTCTATCGTAACTATATTAGTCCCAAAAAGAAGAAATACATTAAATAAAACCAATAAATGAAAAAAATATTTAGAATATAAAACAGCATTTCTTAGGTCTCGTGTTTTCTACTAATAAAGTTGAACTCTTCTATATTCTGGTCTTCGTTACCCTTTACTCAATTTTGAAATGATATTTTAAAGAAGGATATTAATAAGATAATATTAAATTTTTTGTAAACTTCTGTTAGTTCAGAATACTCATACTCGTTATTCATAGGAAATTTATAAATTAAGTAAAAAAACAAAATAGGGAATAATATCAATAAAGGCAACAGTAGTACATCGCTGTTCAGTAGTCATAATTCGATTAAGCAAAAACATATCCGGGTAACAAATTAAAACAAAGGGAAACTCATCAACTATAAGAAGATAACAACGGAAGAACAGAAACATTGAACTACAACAAAAGCAAACGCCAACATACATAGAAACGGACTGTAGATAACAACTGCCATATTCCTGACTAGGTACATGACTTTGAATTATAAAGTATGTTTACAATATGAAAATAAGATCGTATGATTGCCAATGAGACAACTAGCCACCAAAGTTCAAATGAAGTGGATGTTACAAGTATGGTTCTCGATTGCCTTTTTCCCCAAAATCTACCGTAAGTGTTTGCCTAGTCTGCTGAATACGATCATTAATCCATGTTGACCGACCAAATTCAGTTGTGTATACAATAGTTAGAAGTAATCAAATAACAGAAATGAGATCGTACAGGGCCTAGTGGCTTTTTTATGAAACCACAATGTGACGATCCAATACTAGTAGTAGTTTTTAAGAAACATAACTGACTATACGATATGGGATTTTCTCATTTTAAATGCCATATACTGTGGCCCTTTGTTGGTTAAATCTGCGTCATTTCGTGGATAGTTATTTCATTGGCAATCAAACTTAATCCCCTAATTTTTATACCATTGACCAGTAAACGTTCAAATTGATTCATTCATTATTTTGACAATATGTGAAATCATAGCTCCAAATTTGAAATAAAGTCAATTAAATATGCAGAACGTCAGAAAATGTGAATACGACTACCTTCAAGTTCTACAGAAAAACATTCGTCAGATCTGTTTTACCGATGGCAGTACCGAAAGTCGGTAATACGGTGTGCATTTTATTTTTAAAAAATACGTCAATTTATACTCATTGACGTCATCAGAACCAAAACGATTTTTTCTGAATTTTTGACACTTAAAAAATACGCTGAATACTAATAGCTGTCACATAGCCAGATAGTCATACACCCCATGTGAATTTGTTATATAATCACCCATGTGAATTTGTTATATAATAAATGTCGTACAGCCTGTATACATGTATGTTATTGTTAAACATTAAATCTTATTTGACATCAGCTGATCTAAAATTGTTTAACTTGATATCTTGGCTAATGTCCAAACCACCCACATGGTAAAAACTGTCATGTTAGATTTGTATCTTTAGAAAACGTCGAAGATGGCAAACAGCTATTAGGTCTGGGTTCATAAACTAAAAAAAAATCAATAGGATCAGTAGAATTAGTAGATGAAAATAAACACTTTATACATTTTGTGCCTCCGAAGCGCTTTTCTGGATTTACCTTCATTAGAAACCCAAACATTTGAAAAAAAGGGTGTATAAATACATGAACACTCACGCAATATGACCAAATGGGACCTAAAAGAGTCTGCCGTAAATATTTGTAAGCCTGGTATCTTTGATGAGTTATTTTTTTTAACTATTAGGTAGCAATACACATTTAGGAAAAAAAACTTAAAATTGACACTCATAATTTTTAACCACGCGCTTTCCCTTCCTTTCTACCAAATAAGGCTTAATATTTGTGTTATGCATGTATATATTTATGGAAAGAGCATCTTCTATAGATTTGATTTCCAATAGTTATAATGGTGAAATATAATCTCTTTTTGGTGTAACCATGGCAACAATCTGCATTTATTTGATACAAAATGTTGCAAAAAGGGGGGTGAAAATGTCACAAAAGTCTCCAAAATTTGGTTCAAAGGAGAATTTCAATCCATTAGAGTGATACATTTGTACCTTTCCTGAAACCATAGACATTTATCTATCAAGAGGTAAAAAAAAAATCATATGCATTTCTGCTCGTTTTTCCATAAAATTGAATTGAAAAGATCGAGGGTCAAATCTGTGATGAAAAACATGCACTACAATAATTTCTGGACCTATGAGCTGTACGGATGTGAAAATACGGACTGTCAAACAGAAAAATGGCTTATAAAACATGCAAAAAACAATCTAGATGTTCATATAAACCCACTTGGAAGGCTATATTATTCTTCAACTATCTAAAAATCAATTTTATTGTACAAAAACTTTCATATTTAAAAAATTCACCATGGCCAAAATGAGAAACTAAACTTCTAACTGTGTATTGCTACCTTACTCAAGAATTCAAAATCTCTGAAAGACCTTTTAAACATCCTTATTTGCGATTGGATAGGCAATAGTAACGAAAATGGTAAATAATACCTCTAATGCTATTGCATGAATACTACAGCAAGTCAGCTGTGTAAGTAGCACATTGAAGAAGAAATTATACAAGCAAACGATCTTCATTTTGTCTTCGACTCTAATGAATTATTAAATAGACAGAACAATATCATTTGTCACAGGATAAAGGATGTGATACGGATTTATTACTTGCAAAAAAGGCAAAAAAAATCAATGAATTCAAGGGTTGCGATAAAATATTGTTCTGGTCGTACGAAGATTAAAGGCAGGTTTAAGCAAAGGAAATAGCAAACTACATTATTGCAGAACCGCATTTAAAGAATGCGTGATTCTTCCGTTCTATCTAATGAGAATTGGAAGTTGTGCTATCTACCCTTGAAACTTTTCGTTTTATTTTTTTCATTTTTTTTACTGAATCTTTTTTATTCTAATTATAACAGAGCTCAATTTTAAATGGGGAAGACTTCCTATTGTCGAACTTAATCAAAACTGTCAATTGACCATCTGATCAAATTGAAAGTTACACTGCCTTTTGGCACCATATACGATTTGCTAAACTTTATAGTCTTCATGTATCAGTTGGATACATATATATATAGTTTCAACCACTGCAAAATGTGTGATACGATATTTCTCCTCTCAAGACATTTCAATTTCCATATTCAAAGCATGAGGCTTGCCAAGCAATTTAACTGTCACAAGTGGACATAAATCGTATTGCAAGAGATTTGGTGGTAGAATCTGTTTTTCGAATTATTTTAGAGAATATGCAGATATGTAGACAAACATTATCTTTCTTTTTACCTTCAAAAGATGTGTTCTTTCTATGTGACGTCATTATGCATGGTTGATTTTTTTGTAACGTCACAATAAGAAAATTCAGAGGAAGGCAAGAAAATTTGATGTCATAATTGATTTTTGACCAGTGAACCACACACTGATTATAAGAAAAATTATCATTTAATCGGAAAACGTTGAAATCGACTGAGAATTAGAGAAAATATTTTACCAAGTGATCAGTTCAGTAAAATGATATAACCTGAATCTTTTTTATCGATCCTACTTAAAAGGTATGATACTTCATGAGGTTAAGTCACAGTTACTTTTTAGTGAGAGTGTCATGAAGTCAGCTTGACAAAATATAAGTGTTAAATACATACATCAACAAAGTAAGAAAATCAAGATAAATTCAACAAAAATATCTTTATCATTACAAAGAAACTACAGACCAAATCTAATTTTGATTTTTTACCATTTCATAGTAATTGATGTACTGTGTATTCAACCTTACAAAATTCTATGTACTTTTCAAAAACAAATATAATATTCAGTTTACACCAACCTCATTAAGTTGCTTCTGTTTTCTTGCCGCAGTGGACATTTCTTCATTCCTTGATCCTTTAAAAATTTTGTCATAAAAATGTACTGATTTCAATCCATCTATATACCTTGGAGTTCAATATTCAAATGCAGGTCAGATATGCTTCTTCTATAGTTAGGACATTTAATAAGATGTCGCAGTTAAGATAGGTACTTCTCACATGGACTTTATCAATTCTAAATGATCAATTTAATACACATTTAACTATGGAAAACATTTAAACAGATTACATTATTTACAACACAGATTGTTTGATAACATTAATTAGATGTTCATTTAAAAAAAGCTCAGTTTTTTAAACTTGATAACACTTATGACAATATTTAAAATCCAAATTATAATAGATGTGATCAGGTCATCATGTCTTGCTTAATTATCTGTGAAGTACGAGTCTATGGTTATCCTGACATTGTACTCTGCCAAAATCATGTAAAAATGACCTATTTATAAAATCACTTTAAAATTACATTTGAATAAATAAAGTACTACTGTTTCAGCAAGACAAGAATATCAGCCAGGCATCCGGTGATTAAGTTAAAGTATTCACTTTCAATAAAATTATAAAGATATACATGTATTCAATAAAATTTCATCTAGATTAACTCACTCAACAGACTTTTAAAAATAACAAAAATACCGAGCTTCAAGTAAATCCAAAAAGGAAAGTTCCTTATCAAATGGCAAAATCAAAAGCTCAAACACATCAAACGAATAAAAAACAACTGTCATAATATTCCTGACTTGGTACAGGCATTTCTTTATGTAGAAAATGGTGGATTAAACCTGGTTTTATAGCCAGCTAACTCTCCCACTTGGATGACAGTTTTTTAAAGTTCAGTTATATGGGAACTTTGAAAAAACCGAAAATCAGTACTAATGTCAAAGACAAATAGAATATACAATTTGTACATTATATTCAACAATTACAGGGGCGAGTAAAACGAAAACCGAACTTCAAGGCAAATTTAAAAAGGAGAAGTCTATAAAAACTGACAAAATCAAACGCTATGAAACAAGTGAAAAACAACTGCCATATTCCTAATTTGGTACAAGCATTTTCCGAAGAAAATTATGGTTAAACCTGTTTTATAGCTAGCTAAAACTCTCACTTGTATGACAGTCGCATAGAATTCCATTATATTAACAACAATGTGTGAGCAAAACAAAAAACATTCTAGGTAAAAATGTCAAAAATTGGGGTACAGCAAATGTATATATATGGTCAAAGTACTGAATGATGAAACTCTAAATAAGGACACTAATGTTGGCATGTTTCCTATCTTCTTTTTTAACCTTTTGTTTCGTCTTATACATCTTAACCCAGTTCCTTCTTAAAAAAATGTTTCATCAAACACCATGTACTATGATCCCTATCCCGTTCATCTTCACTGTCAGATAATTGTTTTCCCTTCTTTGTGATGTGCATGTGTTTAACTTTTACCTTATTGCAATTCATGTCTAAAATAATATTTTTATATTAGCTATGATTTGTGATGTATATCATTTCCTAGTATTGATGTAGACATCTTTACTATAATTTCAACATTTCACGATTTCACTACGATTTCATTTCTGTGTAATTATTGTGATTATAAACGGGAATGTTTTCAAACAATGCATATACATTAACTTTGAACATTTTGTTTATTTTCCATCTGAGTTTCAAGCAAATCTTGTTGATATTGATAGATACACAAGCGGATAGTTAGGCTGATTTCTATTTATGTCTTAAAGATAAACCTGGTCTTAAGTTGAATCAAAAATACTAGAATAAAGTTGTTATAGGATTGACCAAAATGAACATTTTTTTTCAAATATGATAGTTATGCTCAACTGAAATTGAAGCACATGGAATCAGCATGTATGATATGTTATTTTGTAGAGGCGGAAGGACCTGTTACGGGACGTTGGGGTTGGGACTTTATTTTTGCGAAAATTCAAGCTTTACACTTATCAGGACTTATCTGGATTCAAGAGAGAATACTGTATTTTTTCAGGAATTCAGTTTTAAGCATTTATTTTCCGAGATGACACTCGCTCCTACATCCCCCCTTTCCTCCCTCATACTAGTATAATAATGTTTGAAGTAAGTACCAATAACACCCCACATTATACCTCCTCTGAATTAAAACTGACAAGATAATGATTTTGGCATATATAATTAGTTATCATAAATATGGAAATACATTGCATACTGCAAAATTAAAAGACATCAAAGTTTGAAAAAAAAATTTCCCAAGCTATTTTGCAATTAAAATCAACTTGAAAAAATACCTCCTCGAAAGGCTCTTGTAATTTTTAACAATCAGAATAGTAAGGGACAAGAAAACCAAGAAAAAAACCAAGACACAAAAAAATCGCTGTGGTCATCCACTTTAACATAGGCAATTTTTCAAATATAGCATTTCAACTTGGAATGGCAAAGCACATAATACACACATGTTTTATCTTAAACCTAGATTTGTTGTTGTTAACTATAAACTAAATCTACTTATCATTTACAAAACACAATGTACAAGCATATAGTTTCATAAAACACATCAACATGGTCAAACTCAGCTAAATTTTTTATAATTCAACCGAACATAAAACCCATCTCTTTTTCTTGTTCCTACAAGTAAGAAACTTTTAGTAGAATAGAAAAACAAAGGATAATTTTATGTGGTATCCATTCATGACACAAAATCAGTACATGCACAGCAAAAAACACACAAAAAGCAAAGGAACAGCGCTTTTATTAGTAGGACCATTTCTGTATTGATGTACATTTAGTTGCTTTAATAGTATTTTCTTTGACGAAGTAAAGTGTTAACTGCATTTTGGAAGTATTCATGTGAAGCAGCAATTTCTGGATATTCAATTGCAACGCATTTCTTGATAACACCCTTAACTTTTGGACAGAGTTCCTTTTTTATTTTATTACCTTTTCTACCTTCATTCCACTTGTATTCAAATCTAATATTGCCTTTAAATAGTTTAGGTTTCATTAAACATATCAATTTTAAGGCTAACTAGCCAGTTGTTCATGTTTGCTGTTGAATTTCCAGTAGTTCTGCTGTAGAAACCATGCTTTCATCTGGTGAAATGAATTCTGCAGATAATAAGGCAGAATTGGGAGCTATATTTGCATTTACTTCATATTTGCGATAAGATGACTTGAATTACGTGAACGTGGTTTAGTTGGTTGTGAAAATGACATATCTGAAGCTTGTAATTAACTGTTAACATTTTGTCTTGATGTACTCCCATTGGAAGCATACGTAGCTACAAAAGAATTTGAAGAATTTGTCGAAGATTTATCTTCTTCAGCGTTAACTGTCTTAATTTTTGTAGGTTTGGTAACAATAATAACATCACTGTAATCTACATTTAGTTACATTTTCTGTCTTTAATTTCTAAATTTAAGTATCTACCCCTTTCTCGTGTTTCTATATTCAGGTTATGATCACCAAGTCTAAATTTGGCAAATAACTGTCTTTGCTCCTCTGAGCCGATAGTTAAATAAGGTTCTACAACTGTCTTTGCTCCTCTGAGCCGATAGTTAAATAAGGTTCTACAACTGTCTTTGCTCCTCTGAGCCGATAGTTAAATAAGGTTCTACAACTGTCTTTGCTCCTCTGAGCCGATAGTTAAATAAGGTTCTACAACTGTCTTTGCTCCTCTGAGCCGATAGTTAAATAAGGTTCTACAACTGTCTTTGCTCCTCTGAGCCGATAGTTAAATAAGGTTCTAATTCATATGAATATTTAAATTTTCTGTATGTTCTTAATTGTTTCCAGCTGAGTAGATTTATACTGGTGCTTTTTAGGAAATTATTTATGGTGTTCGCATGTGCTCTGTTTTAGTGTTTACTTAGTAAAACTAAAATATTGTGTCCTAACTTGTATATACATGTATCCATGAAGGACGTAATTTCGTTTCAAAATCGAATAGAGCACGTCCAAGCCAAAAATGTGTTTTTTTTTTTTTATTTCTTATATATATATATCAACGGGACATAATATCTTTTCCAATCTTCAATATATAAAATTGAGAATGGAAATGGGGAATATTTCAAAGAGACAACAACCCGACCAAAGAGCAGAAAACAGCTGAAGGCCACCAATGGGTCTTCAACACAGCGAGAAAATCCCGCACTCGCAATGAATTCATGTGGTGTAACTGAAGTTTTAATCTCATTGTTTCCTTATCCAATTATCAATGTAGCAATATTATAATTATACTCGTAAAAAGCAAAAGTAATCAGCAAAACCAGCTCATTAAATAAGTAAGAGTGACCAAAATGATAAGTGTCGTTACTGGAGTTGTTGTCCTAAACAAATGACGATTTTTTTTAACAAACTTTGATCTTACGATCTACAAATAGATCAATAGGAATCAATTCCATAGCATTTTTTTTTTCATTTCAGGCAAAAATGACTAGCAAAACAGATTTTCCCCCACACAGATACATTTCAACAAACGTATTCTCAGATGGGCGACACAAGCTTATTGGAGCCTCTTGTACAATATTTGTTTCCTCTTTTTTGGATTTGTTTTGTTAATCACATTGTTTAAATGCTATAATCCAAGTATTTGCAACAACAATTTCAGGCTGGTATCCAGTTGAAATTAAACAGAAGAAATTATAATATTTTATTTCCAAAAGAAATACAGCTTATAGGCATATAACAAAATATACATCAAATGTCAATACACACATACATATATATATATACAGCAATAAATAGCGAATATTATCGATATACAATTGTTTTAATAAAAGTAGCGGAGCATGACACACAAAATTTATGAATTACGAAGTTTTTCGGAAGCAAACAAATATTTCCCTAAATTATTTAGTTCTTTTACATTTTGTACTGATAATAACTGAACAAGTTTTAAAGCTGAAGGATTTCTCCTATAGTATTGTTTTATATATCATTTACGTATATCTTCATATTTCTTACATATTAAAATAAAATGACACTCATCTTCAATTAATCTATCGTTACACATTATACAATATCTTTCATTCCTGTTTACATTATAAAAGCGACCTGTTTCAATCTGTAAACAATGTGCATGTATTCTATATTTACAAATTAATGGTTTGAATACATAATTAACGGCTGTTCTTGAAAAAAAACAACTGTAAACCATGTACGTGTATCGTATATA